AAAGCTAAAATATTTGAAAAATTATTTTGCGCACCAAAAATATCTGGAAATATTTTCCTGCCCTACTATCTTACTGTCGTTAAAAGAATCAGCCTGAATATTTCTCCCCAAAAGTGAGGGAGGGGACAAAAAAGGTTCCCATCTTTACTCTTTGAGAAGTTAAATGCCTTGGTGAAGAGGGATGAAATAAAATCTTAGCACTTAGCACTACAGCAAAGTTGGAGAACTGCATCTACATGGGGGGAATTGTGCCAGCATAGTGCTCCTTCATATCAACACAAGAGTCCTGAGACAGGAAAAGGAGTCAGGTGGAGACAGGGATTGCACCCAGCCCACCTTGTTAGAAATTCCCACACATCGATTTAAGACACCATCCAAATGGGAGCCTTCCTTGGCCAGGGACAATATCGCCCGCAGTTTCTTCCAGTGCAGGCTCCAAAGGCTCTAGACTGAGTCCCGCGCCCGCTCTAACGTGCCCTAGGCTATGGAGTCCACCTCTCCCGTGCTCCCTCGTCCTCCCTCCTCCCTGGACCGACGGTCAGTGGCTCTCTGAGCTCCCACAGTGGACGCAGCAGAGCTCGGCCGCCCCACCGCAGCGGACGGCCCACGCCCGGTCCTTGGCGCCCGGAGTCGCTGCGCTGCGGTCCGAGCCACCAGGCCGGCACCCGCCCGGCTGCGCAGCCTCTCCGGGAGCGACCGCGGCGAGCAGGCGGCTGGACCCGAAGCAAAGCCGCAGCGCCCCGGGCCTGCCTCGCTGGGGGGTTCCGGACGTGGCGGCAGAGCCGGGACGCGGGGCCACGCGGGAATCAGTTCCGCCCGACGGTCGACGATGACAGAGAGCTCCGCCTCGGGATTAGCGGACCAGGAGCCCGCAAGGACCCAAAAACACACCCCAGGCCAAACGGCGCCACACCCCACGGCCAGGAAAGCAATGCGCCTGCGCACACAGGAATCTTTCAGTCTGCGCAACGGCGCGGCTTCCTAGCCAATCAGCAGCTGTGGCGTTTCCTCGCCCCGCCCCTACCCGCCACGTCCTCGTCTGGTCTCCATGACAACTCCTGAGTGTTCCCCCCGCCCAAACGGTCGAGCCAACCTCGAAGAGCAGCTGCGCCAAGAGACCAAAGGGAGGAGTGACTAATTTCTGGGTCTTTATCATCTAAGCAGGTAGGGCTGTCGTAAGGGGAAAAGGTTTTCACGTCCCCACCTGATTGATGAACAAGAGATTACAGCGAGAAAGGTTGGGTCCCAGAACCAGGCACAAGAGGCCAATGAAGAAGAAAAGCCAGAGGCTACCTTTTAAAAAGTGAAAAATAAGGGTGCCGGCCTGGCTCCGTCGCAAGAGCGTGGGGCTCTTGATGTCGTTGTGACTTTGAGCCCCACCTTGGGTAAGAGATTTAAAAAATAAATAGCCTTTAAAAATAAAAGTTTTTAAAAAATTTTTTTAAAGTTAAAATAAAAGTGAAAAATAACCACCGGCAGCCGTTTTGGAGTCCACGAGGAAAACGAGCTAAGGATACAAAAAAGAAATATCCTCCCCAAAGAGCAGAGAAGTTGGGCAACCTTGTAGCCAACACTGAAAGCAAAGAGCTTTTCGCGAGGGGCAAGGCAAGTGTGCTCACGAGGAGCCAGCGAACCAAAGCATTCAAGGACACGGCCTGCGGGATGCCTGGGTGGCTCGGTCGGTTGGGCGTCTGCCTTCGGCTCAGGTCATGATCCCAGGGTCCTGGGATCGAGTCCCACATCGGGCTCCTTGCTGAGCAAGGAGCCTGCTTCTCCCTCTTGCCTGCCTCTGTCTCTCTCTCTCTCTGATAAATAAAATCTTAAAAAAAAAAATAAATAAAGGACACAGCCTCCAGCTGTCCTCTATTCGGATCAGTTTTGCAGGAAAGGAGCCCCCCTAACTCATCTGTGGTTTTCAAGCCTTCTCTTCTGTTGGAGCCCTTTCCTCTCATGGTCAACAGAACAATGACATAAATCCACACAACACTGGATTAAGAATAATTTTGAAGCGCCACAGGAATCACATGCCATACCCTTAAAATGACAAGAAATAAAAGGAAACAAATCTCACGAATTTTCTCTCTTTTCCTAATACTCTGGCCTCTTGAATTTACTCCACCGAGAAAGCTCTGAATCTTTTCTCGTGTGGGCTTATTACGATGTCAATCATCAAGTACAAAGGAGGGGGAGAGGGCATGATTCAGAAAGCCTTCTTCAGGAAGAACTATCAGCCCCGGTTCTCTGCTCTTAAGAAGCCCTTGGCCTTGTCACAGTCATGAATCTTAAGGACCACACAGAGCTGTCAAAAACACTGGCCTCTCTCAAAGGGACTGGTAAGGAAAGTTGGGCTTCATATCCTAGGAAAACCACTCTGACTCTCCTGTATGCTATTTAATACCTTATTACACTTATAGCAGTTGCCTAAGTAGGCACCATAACCTGGATTATATTAGAGAAGGCACCTCTTAACCCAGAACTCTTTCCTCTGGAGCCTACACAGGAACAAATCCCAGACGATACTGTCCCATCCAACGAGGCTCCCTTTGGATGGTGTCTTAATGTGAAGAGTGCCCTAACTCTGAGCTCTGCCTCTAAGTCAATACAGAAGCCATCTACTCTTGGCATATGGTCTTCCCCAAGGCTCCCAGATTGTATAACATGGAGAAAAACAAGTTCTGACATCTATAGTCCCATCACTCACCGATGCTTCCACCATCCCTAGCAAGTGGTTCCATTATGCCCTGGTGATTGGCGTGCTCAGCAGCCTTCCTCAATACTTATCTCAGGGCCACACATACAAACGCACATGTGCAAAGAGGTGGTAGAGTAAAAAGGTTAAGAACAAGGACTCTTGAGCTGGACTACCTGAGTTTAAATCTCAGCTCCACAGTGTTTCCAGGTCAGCCAGTGACTGCCTTTCCGAGTCATGGTTGCCTTCTCTACAAAATAGGGATAAGGTGTACCTAAATTTAAGGGCATTGTTGGAAGAAATGAATGAGTTGATACATACAAAGGTGCCTGAACAGTGTCTAGCATGTAATAAATCTTTACATCAAGTATTAGCTATTATTGTCATGGAAATCCTCTGAAAGGGGTCTGGGAAGAGCTAAAATACAAAGAAAAAACAAATGGCAGTTTATACACTGAATTCTGCCTTACTTTATGCTTAAAAAAGGAAAGGAATGGAGTATCAATGCCTGCTTCTTGAGTTGCATTTCTAGGATAAGGGCAAAAACCAGGTAGCTTTCCTTTCTTACATTTACTAAAGAAGAAATTTAAGCTAGGTCTGCCTTACAAACTGTGGCAATTATCCAGATACCTAAGGCCAGGTTTATTTGGGGAAATGGATTTTTTTACCTAAATTAAACAGAAGTATTTCTCAATTCTCCATGATGCTCTATCATAGCAACCTTCCTACTAGGATGAATTGGCATATCTTCTGATATAATCAACTCGGCCAACTGAGCAAAAACATTCACGGAGAGGAATAAAGGAGTACACAAATGTATTGTCTGTGCCTGCCAATTCTTTGGAGAAACAAAATTACCTTCAGTAGTGAGCCCATAAGGTGGAAATAGAGTATTATCAATATTGTCTTTATAAATCTCTGCGTTTGCTCATAAAATGCAGTTACATAGCTTTGTGTATAACTCTGATAACACATGCTATTATGTGTTCATATGTATAAATGTATAAGTAAACAATAGAATGTTATATATGTAAAATATAATTTTACAGTATGTCTAATTTCACTAATTTATCTGTTGGGCTTTTTTGGAGGGGGGTGTCTTGGTGCATATGGTTGAATTCCTGTTAAGTAAAATGTAAGTATGGTAAGATTTTCCCCAAAATGTTTATCTCAAGCCACTATATTTTGTATGCATGACGTTGGCAAAACATATCAAGAAATCATCTAATGTATGATACGTATCAAAGGTACTACAGGGATGACTTTTCATTGAACAACTCATCTTATATGAATTTTTAAAACCATGTGTAACTATTATTTTGTTTAAAATCAACAATAAAAGACCTAACAAGATAGTTACTTTCCTCATGGGGAGAACTATGTTAAAGCTGGAGATAAAACCAGATATTAAGATCAAACTAAAAATGTTTTATAGGCATATGTAAGGGATATAATGAATGGCAAAGGTTTTCTGAGGAGGAAGTTATTTTCAACTGTGGTGGTCAAGGAGAAGGTGACAATTTAAGTTGGGTCCTAAAGGAGACTAACTTGCAAATTGAAAAGAGTGATAATGTGACAACTACCTCTTGATTAAAAAAACCAAAAAGAAAAAAAACGATTAATGCCCCCTCAGAAAAGGCAGAAAGCCCTGCTTTAATCAACAAAGATCTCTTCCTACAATCCTCAAATCAAGTTTGGGGTCACCATACAATGAGCTCATCACAATAGTGAAAACTATCCAAGCTTCTTAGAGGAATTTGAGATGTAACATGTATATTAATTTTCCCTTCACTCAACACAAGTCCATCACAAGCAGTTTTAACCACATAAATTAGTTTTAACCATATAAATTCATTCTAAATCAGGCCTCTGAAGGAAGGGCAAATGTTTCTCCACAACCCAAACTAACTGGCTCCAGGAAAGAAAAGTTTTTGAAAGGACCTTGCTATACCTAAGATGTTAACTAACATTATTTGAAGAGCTCTGATTCTAATAACAGACACTTTTATGGAGGACTCTTCTTTTTCTTGCCTCCAATTTCTAAAAGGTACTAAAAATTTCATGTATTTCAATAATTATTTCCAGATGTTACCATTTCTTCAGAGTATTTTGTCTTACAATTTTCAGAACAAAAATCCCTTTTTCCTCTATCTTCAGTTGTGCTTTTCAGCTCTGAAACTCAAGCCCTGTTGAACTTCAAGCTGTAACTAACACTAAAGTGTGTAAGCACTTTAAATAGAAGAGAAGGACGGGAAAGTCAGTGAGAAGGGAGCGTTCAAAGCAGCCCTTTTAGTGAGGACAGTACTGTTAGGGGTAGGAATGATTGTATATTAAGGCAAAGATTTATAGAAAGGTGGTATTTGAATATACGATCAACCATGAGTCTATTTCACTTGGACATGGCAGTATTCCAATCAGTACAAGGAGGGGCAATGAGCTCAAGTTTGAACAACTGGAATTCCTTTGTGTCTCGGAAGAGCCTACTCCTGGGGCCAGGAAAAAAAAAATCACTTCATGGTGACGTCAGTCATTTTCAGGTACAGATGAAAATACACACACACAGATTGATGGTTGGTTTCTTGGGCTATTCCAGCTTTCAGATCAGTATTTCTTCACATGGATTTGTGGTATTCTGGCAGCTAATTCTTTGCAGGAGAAAATGGAAGGAGAGCATTTTTTTAAAAAAGGGAGGGATCACAATTATAATAACCCATGAAAGTAGGATTCTTTGGTATTTAACAAAGTGAGGAGTCTGAATGACCACACATTCAGAATGATTCTCCACTGTGAAGTCTCTGATGCCTAATGAGGGCTGAACTACACCTGAAGGCTCTGCCACATTCATTACACTCACAGGGTTTCTCTCCAGTGTGAATCCTCTGATGTTGAGTAAGATGGGCACTTCTACTGAAGGCTTTCCCACACTCGTGACAATCAAATGGTTTCTCTCCAGTATGAATCTTCTGATGTTGCGTCAGTGATGAACTCTGGCTGAAGGCTTTCCCACAATCTTTACAGGTGTAAGGTTTCTCTCCAGTGTGGGTTTTTGTGTGTTTTGTGAGGGTTGAGCTCTGGCTGAAGGCTTTACCACATTCTCTACACTTGTAGGGTTTTTCTCCAGTATGAGTTCTCTGATGTCGAATAAGTGCTGATCGATCACTGAAGGCTTTCCCACAGTCATTACAGGTGTAAGGTTTCTCTCCAGTGTGAGTTCTCTGATGTTGATAGAGGTGTGAGCTTTGACTAAAGACCTTGCCGCACTCACTGCATTCATAAGGTTTCTCTCCAGTGTGAATAAACTGATGGACAATGAGGGAAGAGTTGTGACTAAAAGCTTTCCCACATTCCCTGCATTCATAGGGCTTCTCTCCAGTATGAATAAACTGATGTTCAACACGGGATGAATTGTGACTGAAGGCTTTACCACATTCATTACATTCATAAGGTTTCTCGCCAGTATGAATTCGCTGATGTTGAATAAAGTGCGTTATCTGAATGAAAGCCTTCCCACATTCATTACATTCATGGGGCTTCTCTCCAGTATGGATTCTCTGGTGTTGGATAAGAGAGACGTTATGATTAAAGGCTTTTCCACATTCCTTGCATTCATATGGTTTCTCTCCAGTATGAATTCTCTGATGTACTGTAAGGGCTGAATAATTACCAAAAGTTTTTCTACATTCACTACATTCATAAGGTTTCTCTCCATGTTGGGTTCTCTGATGTTGAATAAATGGTGCATTCTGAATTAAGGCTCTTTCATGCACATTATATTCCTTCCCACCATGAACACTCTGATGTTTGGTAAGGGGTGAGTTCCAGGTATAGCCTTTCCTATCTTCACAAGACTTCTCTCCAATATTAGTTTTCTGACGTTCAGTGCGGTGTATACCATGACCAAAGGTCTTCCCATACTGATTATATTTCAAATTGTTTTCTCCACTATGAGCTATACAATGTTGAACATAAACTGAGCGATCACTGAATATTTTACTACGGACATTACATTGAAGAGTTTTCTCATTTGGGCTATCTTTCTGATGTCTTATTAATTTTGAAATCTGTTTAAAGCTCCTTCCCTGAGCATGAGACATATATGGTCTCTCTTCTTCAGGGTTTCTTGATTGTATAACAAAGTCTGACTTCAGACTAACATGTCTGCCAGATTCAATATGTTTGGGGTTACTATCAGTTCTAGAAGTTCTTTTCTTGCAGATAACTGTTGCTTCTTTCCAGAGTCTGTCTTGACTATTCTCTTTGATCTCTGCATATCCCCAGGCTTCCTTCAAACTGGAAGGCCTTGCATCAGCCCCTGTGCTTCTCTCCATACTTATCCCCTGGCATGATTCTTTCTCAGAAAATACCTCCTTTGGGTTTGACTTTCTGGTCTCCAAATCTGGAGGGGGAAAAGTAAAAAAGTTCCCTGTACTAGAAGAAGGAAATGACTAAAGCAGGATTGAGATAATAAAAGTATATAAATACCATTAGTGACAAATATAAGTCAAGTAGTCAACAGATAATTTATTGAACACCTATTATGAGCTAGGCACTGTGTTACATGCTAGGATTCAATGACAAACGAAGCAGATATAGTACCAGCTTTTTTGAGATTTACAGTCTTTTGGGGAAGGTAAGTATTAATCAAATAATTTCAAGAATGATGAATGCTGTAAAATAATGTGTTAGGGAGATTTTCAGTTGGGAAATGATTGGTACTGTTCATAGGAATGATAGCTACCCCTAGCCGTTGAACCACTAGAACCTTCCCTGGCTTTTGATACCACCACCAGCAGCAGTCCCCTGTGTCCCCTGTCTGGAGTTCACTCCAGCTAGGGTCATCCTTTAATGCCTACATCTTCCATTCCCACTGGCAGAGTTCCCCATTATGCCCAATTATGCCTGAGGTTGCTGTTGGATTCAGTAAGATCATTAACCAGATTTTCCTTTGCTACCCTGAATATTACCATTTGCCAGAGATTTCCTTCATCTTTCACTTTTTTCCCCTCTCTCTGGGCCTCCCAAAATACACACATACAGACCCCTAAGAAAGATAAAGAGGGTCAAAGTTCAAGAGAATGCATAAATTTTAGGAGGATCAGGGGATTAGGCTTACTACTAGTACTAGTTCAGCTTTTTTTTTTTTTTTAAAGATTTTATTTATTTATTTGACAGAGAGAGACACGGTGAGAGAGGGAACACAAGCAGGGGGAGTAGGAGAGAGAGCAGCAGGCTTCCCGCAAAGCAGGGAGCCCAATGTGCAGCTCGATCCCAGGACCCTGGGATCAAGACCTGAGCTGAAGGCAGACGCTTAACGACGGAGCCACTTAGGTGCCCCTAGTTCAGCTTTCTTATAGGTAAACTACACATGACATACATCTTAATTGTTGTAAAGTTGGGACTTTATAATTGAGGATCTTGCAAGTAGTCTTTCAGCCTTATGAAGGATAAGACAAACAGCACATGTATTTTGCAAGCTGGACTATTTTCAAAGTAACCTCAGTATGTGGCTTTGACAACCTTATATAATGTAGAAAATGAAAGTTAAAAGAAGGCAACGTAAGTTAAGCAGGGGAGAGAAACGGTAGCAGGGGAACTAATCCATTATCAGGTTAGCCAAAAAGAAGGAATAACCTGTTAAGTCCAATGCACACTCTTCAGGTCTTGACCTCTCTAGAATATGTTACTGTGAGCACCTCCCCTCCTTGAAATGTTCTTTTCTGTTGGATTCTACAATAACCTGACCTGGTTTCCTTCTGCTCTGGCCACCCTTTCTTAGTATCCTTTCTGGATTCCCTTTCCTTCATTTATGTTGATAAAATCTGTATAATATACCTCTGCTGCCATCACCCATTATCAAAAATTATTACTATTTTATTATTTTGACAACGTTTTCCCCATGTGTTTTTTTTTTAAAGTACACAAGTGATATAGATATATACAGATATAGACAGCTAGCAGATACTTAAATGTGTATGTTCATTGGGCTTCTAAGTTCTCTTGCAACTCTTTTCATGCTCTATTGCTCAATTTTCATATTTCATCCACTCCCATGACTTCAATTACCATCTATTCTCAGATGACTCTCAAAGCTATACCACCAGTTATGATCTCTTTCCTTCACCAAGATCCATTTGACATCTCCTCCTTATATTCATCTACCTTCCAGACACCCCTACTTAGACCACAGTTTTTCAACTGCAGCAGTACTGACATTTTGTCAAGACAAGTCTTTGTGGGAGGGGTTGTCCTGTGCATGGTAGGATACTTAGCATCTTTGGCCTTGACCCACTAGATGCCTATAGCATCCCAGTCTTCAGACATGTCCCCTGGGGGCAAAATCACCCCTGTTTGAGAACCACTGGTTCTTAGATCTGCTATAGACTCTTCAAACAGAATAAAGAGAACTCATCTTCCACCCCACCCCCCTAAACTTGCTATTTCTCCTGTGTTTTCCATCTCAGGGAAGAGAACTTCCATCTACCTACACAGCGAGACTCCAGCTACTAGAGAGGAAAAGAGAATGACCTCATAAAATGCCAGAGTGAGGCACAACAGTGATCTCTGGATCAAGTGTCAGGGTTATAACTTTAAGGAGGAAGTACCTTCCTTAATTCTGGGAAGAAGTAGAGTTAGGCTAATGAGACTCTGATATGTCAAAATGAAGATGAGACTTAGAGGGGGCCTCAACATTTTCTACAGGCCTGGAGGATTTGGGGAAGAACCCCTAACTCATATTTCAAAAGATGTTGTCTGCCTTGTTCTTACTTACATGTGCAGCTGCTTCTTAGTACTTCTCTCTCCTGCATCCATGGGTTTCCTGCTTGTTCCAATTGGGAGATGATATCAGGTTTAGAAAATGGAAATCCTACTCAAGGGAAAGAAATAGAATGTGATTGTCAGTTTCCAAGACAAAGGGCCACCCCATTTTCAGTCCCACTCTTGTGTTTTCAAGAGCAGAAAACAAGTAACTAATTGTCAAAAGTAATTATACATTTTCTACCAAAGTAGGGTGAGAAACAGTTTAAGGATCTGCTCTGGATCCTGGAGGAAAATGTTAACCAAAGCCTTCTTTGTTTCTTTCTCTCTTTCTTTCTTTCAGAGGGCAGGAGGAGGAGCAGAGGAAGAGGGACAAGCAGAGTCCCCACTGAGCACAGGGCCCCACGCAGGGCTGGATCCCATGACCCTGAGATCATGACCTGAACCAAAATCAAGAATTGGATGCTTAACCGACTGAGCCACCCAAACACCCGCCAAAGCCTCCTTTCTGATCATCCCCTAATAGAAGCATGGGGATCTTTAGAAAGCAATGGCATCCCAAAATCCCTACCTGAGGTGAGGACCCAACCTTACCCAAGGAGACCAGGTTCCTATAGTTCTCAAGCATTACATCCCTGTACAAGTCTCTCTGAGCAGGGTCCAGTTCTCTCCATTCTTCCTCAGTGAAGTTCACAGCCACATCCTTGAAGGATAAGCCCTGAAGCACCTGCATGGCATTCGGAAATAATGGTTGAATGAGGCACAATTAGGGGAGATTCATGGAATGGAGAGGAAATGCATCCAACTATGTTCATAGTGTCAAAGGCATATTGACTCATAGGTTAAAGAGTCTTAAAATGTGTATACCCTTTTGACATACTGATTTTATATCTAGAACTCAATTGTAATAAAATGGAGATATAAGTAATGAGTTATCAACAGATTCTTATCTATTTATAATTTACAATAGCAAAAGAGTTCTAAATAACCTAAATGTTTGAGGAGAGTGGCAGAAGCTGCTAACTGCTCACTAAAGTACACTTCACCTCCTCATCTTTCTAGGTAGACAAACATTTCCCAATCTCCTTTGCAGTTAGATGTGGCCATGTGACTGAGTTCAAGCCAAGAGAATGCAAGCAGAAGTGACGTGCACTATTTCCAGGCCTGACTCCCATGCATTCCTCCAAACTGTTTTCCCCTTGTGGCTGGGACATGGAGATGACCCCAAAAGTGAGTTTGGGAGCCATGTGGTAGAGATATTAGAGCTTCAGATAGCTCAAGGCCCTGAATGGCCACCCTATCAACCTGCTGACCTAGTCATATGGTTACAAGAACAAGAAATAAACTTCTATTATACTGGGGCCATTATATATTTTGGGTCTATCAGTTACACCAGTTACAAGTTAGCCAAGCCTAATTAATTCAGAAACTAACACCTTGAAGTAGAAGATATCATAACAAATTCCTAAAATATACAGGGGCATTGGCTTGACATTCAGGCATCAAGCTTCAAAGAAATGGGTAGTTAAGGCTGGAATGATGTAGACTCTTGATCTAAACTGGCAAAGTAATTAGTAACTGGGAAGGCAGACCAAAAGTTCACTGGGCCTGTAGCTCTGGGGGAATAAGTTGGAAAAAGCCAAAATGCTAGCTTGTGGAGGATGCTTCTGGATATATTTGGCAAAGAAAGAGTTGAGCTCAGGAAGGAATTTACCAATTTTCAAGCTAAAATAAAATGGAATAGAGAGTACAGAAATTTGGGGCTTCACATGGTTGGAAAAGCAAACTGTTTCTAGATCTCATACAACAGGAAGTCTAAAAAAGGATTTGAACAACAAAGGCCCACTGAAACTTCTCAGCTAAACAAAGTGACTTAGTCCTATAAAAAAGATCAAGTTAAGGATATGGCGTTCCCATCCACGCCTATTGTTTGGCAAACTTAAGGTTATCTTCATTAAGAAAGACATGGTTAAAAAAAAAAAGAAAGAGACATGGTAAGTAAGAAACTGTGAAATATACCAAGCTTGAGACTTATATCCAGGAAAGAACTTTGGGTGTGATTATTAGTACATGGCAAACAGATCAGAAGCTTCCTAAATTTTTATAGGACAACATATCCAAGATTTCAATGTACTTTGTACTTTTTTTCCTGTCTCAGAAGAAGCAGTACCTTTCCTCAATTCTAAGCCATTTATGTCACTGACTTCCCAAATATATCTTCCCAAAAATCTACTCATCCGGGCACCTGGGTGGCTCAGTCGGTTAAGTGTCTGACTCTTGATCTTAGGGTCATGAGATTGAGCCCCCTGTTGGGCTCTGCGCTCAAGCACAGAGTCTGCTCAAGATTGTCTCTCCCTCTCCCTCTGCCCATCACCTTGCTCTCTCTCTAAAATAAGAAAATAAATACAATCTTTAAAAAAAAAAATCTACTCATCCTTCAGGGTCCACTTCAAATCTCATTGCTACTATTAGCCCGAGGCTCCTTAAAAGGGCTTAAAGATGCTGGCTGAATGAATAAAACTTTCCCAAATCTCTCTCAGCCAGACACGCTCACTCTCCTCTGAAACCATACATTTTCCCTAAAACACTTTATTAAGCAGGCCGTCAGTAAATTTGCTGATTTGTGTCACACAGATTTGTGTACGGGTCTTTTCTCCCCATGGAGAACATTCTAAGCAGAAGAATACAAAAGATCTCATGTGCCTTTGCTGATCTACACCAAATGCCTCAAGTGGACGAAGGGAAGCCCGACTCTCTCCCAACAATGCTCTCGGTCCTCTGTCCTCTATTGCCAACCGATGGGAGAGACTGCCAAGCCCCATCTTCACTGCTACTTCCACACAATAAAGAGCCCCCAGCTGCCATGTTGTTGGTGGTCCACCCCACCCTCTTGATCCTATCTTTGAAAACCACTGATGCTGAAAGGGCTGACGAGCTTCATGCGATGAGAGAGAAATTTATTCACTTCAGGAATTAAGATGAGATTTTAGGGATGAGAGGAAAATCCCCAACTCACCTGGGATTTTGCTACCTGAAGAAGAGCAGCCATATTCTCCTCCTGAAGATACCCCTTTTGGAAAAGGGCAGACTCCCTAGATGGCAGAACTGGAAGGGAAGAATAATAAAGGAATCCAGTTTATTAATATGTGTCTCAAACCTGTTATATTAGAAATAGCCACTTATGACAAAAAGTGCATCTGACCTTGGCTACCATACGGTTGGAAGGATCCCACAGACACCTATGTAATGAGGCTTCCAAGATAACCTCAGGGATGACTCTCTGTATGATCATTAACTGGGTTCAGGATAAGCCTGAGCCTGTGCTCTGAGAATGAGGATCCCTGTGACAACAGCAACAAAAACCCATATAGTGTTAGGGTTGGCAGGAAGCTTCCAGACTCCTTTATTCACAAATGGAGAAACTTTCCAACTTCAAAGAACAAGAAAAAGGAGCCACAGAGGCAAAGGGCAACAGTGCCCAACCTGGAAGCACCAGCCACCAGATCATGAGTATTCTAGGCCCCTGCTAAGTTTGCAGCCATCCTAGGTTCATTCCACCACACACATGATCCACTAACCCCTAGTCTGTCATCTCATCCTCCCCTGCATCCCAAGCACCCAACATAGTATTTCTGGTGGCAGGAGGCCCAAAGTGTTGAGAATGAATTCATGATCCCCCTAACTCCTTTGACTCCATGCCCATCGAGCAACGTTCTGCTCACAATTTCCCTTCCCACTTTGATTTTTTGCCTACTGGGAGAAAACCGATAATATTAACTTTGTGCACTTCTTTGAGCTTATCTTTGGGTGGCAGGGCTATACGCCATTTATCTTATTCTATATATAATTGCCTTCCTACTATTCTAGTTTATTATTTCTTTAACCAAAAAGCAATACTTAAAGCCCCTTGTCAGGGGTGCCTGAGTGGCTCAGTCAGTTAAGCGTCGTCAGACTCTTGATTTAGGCTCAGCTCATGATCTCAGAGTCTTGGGTCTAGGACCCACATCAGGCTCCCTGCTCAGCAGGGAGTCTGCTGGAGATTCTCTCTCGACCTTTCCCTCTCTTCCTGACCCTCCCTGCGCACTCATGCACTCTCTAATAAATAAATCTTTTTATTAAAAAAATTCTATAGGATTTTCTTTCTATCCCTTGTTTTATAAAAACAAAAGGCATCATCAGTGTATGTGGTCATACCCCAAGCCCCTACTTCCCCACCGGATGCCTGTCCGCTCCTTGTACTGAACTCTGACAATCAGTGAAGGATGGGTAGAGACGGGAACTTTTAAGTTTCAGGACCCTGAGAAATCAGAGGGGCTAAGGGCAGGACGTCCCGGAAAACCAAACAGACTGAAGCTACACCGTGGAAGCCCCTTCTCATCTGGGCCATCCTTTTGTATCTCCTTAAGAAAGAATACTTCTTAAAGGAGGTTGAAAGGTGGGGCGCCTGGGTGGCTGTCGTTAAGCGTCTGCCTTCGGCTCAGGTCATGATCCCAGGGTCCTGGGATCGAGCCCCGCATCAGGCTCCCTGCGCCGCGGGAAGCCTGCTTCTCCCTCTCCCACTCCCCCTGCTTGTGTTCCCTCTCTTGCTATGTCTCTCTCTCTCTGTGTCAGATAAATAAAATCTTTTTTTAAAAAAGAGAGAGAGATTGAAAGGAAGTCAGGAGCAGTTCTCAATCCTGCCAGAATTGGGCAGTGGACCCTGCAGATGAAGGCCCCAGCTCTGCACTTGACCTCTTCCATGTGCTAGAGTGCCAGATCAAATCCTCTGCTTCTCCATGTCCATTTCCTTTTATCTATCCAAGGAGTCTGACTTGCCCCCTCTCATTCTTTGGAGAGGCATCCAGTATAATAGAGAATGGAGAATGAGATGTCTTACTTTTTAGAGCTTCAAGTAAAAAGGGAATTATATCAGTAAAGTTACTACTACTTATGGAGCACTCACCATGTACCAGATGCTTTCCATAAATCACTTGTTACAAATGAGGAAATTGATGACTTGCCCAAGGTCTCCGAGCTGCCCACACACATTTTACAAGGCTGCTGTAAAGAAAAACTAAAACGAGATTACTGTGTGCACACTGTAGGTGCCCAGCTAACAGCAGAAGCTTCTCTTACTTGTGTTTCTTACCTCTGTTCTGGAGTTTGTGGCTCCGATCCTCCACGACCACAGTCTTTGCACCATTTGGGTAAAGCAACTTCACCCAAATCCTCCATGTCTCTTCCTGGGGATTACCAGCATTCTCCCAGAAACTCTAGGAAGAGATTCTGGATTGAATTATGCTTTTTCATTGTATTTCGTCTTTCATTCTCTGAGACCCCACTCATAACAGTGATGGGGGGGGGGTCTGAAGCAGTATATTTTGAGCTAAGACTAAAGTGAAGAAGTTCAGCAGTCACTCAGGCTTCAGGAAGCCCTATTCACAGGGAAGTCTCAATATAACCTTTCCCCCAGGGCTCCGCAGAGACAGACACCCAGGAACATAGATAATCACAGACAACTGGTAAAGATGTTGTTACCAACATGCCTGAAGGATACACAAGTGCAGGCCATGGTGGCAAGTGCCCCGCTAGGAGTGAAGGTACCTGGGTTCTCATTTCTATGTACCAGATGGCTAAGTGACCCAAAACAAGTAGTTTTTCCTCCCTGGGTTTCAGTTGCTTTTTATGTACAGATGGGGAGGTGGATACCTACTATTCATAATGGCTACCACTGATGGAGCCCTTACTTAGTGCCTGGCACTGTGTCAACTGTTTCATATCAAATTTCCACTGAATCCTCACAATCACCACGTAAGGTAGGGACAATAAACTTCACTTGACGGGTAAGGAACAGGAGAGGCAAAGTTCAGTAACGTGCCTACGGTCACATCACTGAGCAATAACCGCTTTCTAGCGATGTAGACAAATGGATCTCTTACATCCACGCCCTCCCGCGTCAACATCGTCTGAGTCCTATACAATGGATCCACCACGATGTGGGTTGCAAGGGCACAAGGGCAGACGCGCGTTGTTCTCTGACCTGGGAGCATGGACAGCCTTGGGCCCTACCTGCCTCACCTTCCAGCCAAGCGCTTCAGGCCGTGCGGGCCCTCAGCCCGTGTCCGAGCAAAGGACCTAGACGTGTCTCAGGCTTAAACACACGTACACACCACCATCACGTACACGCAAAACCCAGAACAGAGGGGCAGGGTCAAGGTGGCCAAACCCTGACAGACATCTCCCCAGCTCCAGCAGGAGGGATTACGGT